AAAAATAACATTGTTTTAATTCTCATAAAATTTTCTATTTAATGATTCATTCTAGTCAACGAAGGAGTAATTTTGCAGAATAGCAGAAAAAATTCCCAACAAACTTTTTTTTTTTTTGTTTTAATTAGGCAATTGGTGGATTATTCCAAAAGCAACATCAACTCTTATTTCTTTAATTATATCATGATTAGTAGTTCTTTGATTTTAAAATATAATATTTGAATATATACTAATTATAATTATTAAATTTAGTATGAAATTGATATTTAATATTGTAATTTAAACGGAGAAATTATAAAAATAATAAAGAAGTTATATTTTGCTTTACTTTTACGTGTATAAAAATTTAAAGGGCTTGATACAATAATTTTCAATAAAAACTGTTTGTTACTATAAAAAAATGCACTGGACTACAAGGAACTTTCATCAGAAGCAAAAATATACTTTTCTAAATCAACTTTTCGCGTTGTTTTCAAATCTGCAAGTAGACTATTTCTATCACTTCTAATTTTTTATATTATTACTAATTATATATATAAAATAATAATTAAAAGAAAAAAAAATTTGTTTTCAAATTATTACTGATTTGATTTTTAATATGTTAAAAATAATCAGTCCAAATTTTCAATTTTAACCTATTTTTTTGGTTCTTTAAAGTTGATGAAAAATTTTTGATAAAGATTTATGAAAGTTTATAGTAAAATAAATTGAATATATTACCATAACTTTTAGCTCAATTACAAGTTTAAAATTGACATCTAGGCCAGTCAACAAAGGAAAAATTGCGGAAAAAATTTTGTTTTTTTAAAAGTTGAATTAAAATATGTATAATGACATACTAATAGTCCTCAAGATTGGAATTGAGCTTTTTTTTTAAATCCTCGCAAAAGTTCAAAAATATGAGCTTTCTTAATTTTCTCAAAAAAAAATATTTAACTTACAAAAAAAAGTTTCGCACAAAAGTTGTTTAAAAGACAATTATAAATAAAAATATAATCTTATATTTTTTCATTTAAACAAATATTTTTCGAGTTACATTACATTTAATATGAGTAATAAAATTTATATTCCATTTTTTTCATTTTACGGTTACTTTTTATCATGTTATACTTACATTAGACACAATGTTATAAATGCATATGTGTGTATGTGTGAGTTTATTTATTTATTGTATCATTAAAGTGTAGTGTATATTGAGATACAACCGATAGAGTAGGTAATTGATTTGACGCTATATTATTTAAACCCAACTAAACGCTAAATTGTACATTCCGAAATAACAATCATATTATGTCAATTGCCACCGGAATATCTGGTAATATTTTTCTTTTTCTTTGCCTTAATCCCAACTACTTGGGGTCGGGCACCCTTATCCTAAGATTCCACTTGACACGATCTCCCACATCTTCTACGCTCACATCAGCTGTCCTCAAATCGCATTCAATAGCATCCCTCCATCTCTTTTTTGGTCTTCCTCTATCTCTTCTTCCTTCAACATTCATTTCTATAACTGTTCTTACAGCTTTCGATTCTTCTTTCCTCATACCATGACTAAACAATCTAAGTCTATTTTCTGTCATCTTATCCACGATTGACGCAACACCTATACTTCCTCTTATATGCTCGTTCCTTATCCTATCTTCTCTAGTCACTCCACTAATCCAACTACGCATTCTCATCTCTGCTACACTTATTCTCTGCTCTACTTTCTTATCAACCGCCCAACACTATGAACCATACATCATAGCTGGCCTCACAATTTCATACTAAATTTAAAAACTATAATTAGTATTTATTCATATATTATATTTTAAAATCAAAGAACTACTAATCAGGATATAATTAAAGAAATAAGAGTTCATGTTGCTTTTAAAATATTTCACCAATTTCTCTAAAGGAAACACTATCTACAGATTTGCATCGAAGCGTTTCTTATGATAGTGATTTTAATCACTGTCAGATATCATCTATACTTGTCCCATCTATGCCTCGTCCACACTGTGCCTCGACCCCACTGTGCTACCGTTTTTTTAAATTTTGAATGAACTTCATTTAATTGTTTAATTATTATTTAGTGTGAAAACTTTAAATTTAAAAATAAACGATTATTTTCATTTATCATTAGAAAACTATGTGTTTTTGTACATTTTGAAAATTTTAAATTTTTATCATGTAATTTAATCGAGTAATTTGAGTTAATAAATATCTATGTATATATTTGTGTTTTAATTTTAAATAACTATTATTTCGAATTATCGAAATCATTTGATTATTTAATTAATTGAACTATTCCATTATTCCAATCACTAAATATTATTGACATCGATTTTTGTACACTGGATCATTTCTTAATATTGTTTTTTAAATCTTTTTGATAATATGCATTCTTTTTTAGTAAAAAATTACCGATTAAAACAATTAATTTTTGCCAAGTAGAGAGATATGTCACCCCACGCCATCCTCTCGTAATGGTCATAAGTCCAATTTTATTTTAAAGACTAATTTTTCGTCACCCTAATATATCAGTGTTGTTCGGACAAAAGGAGATAGAAAGCGTAAAATTGCAACTCTTGGAAAAATAAAACTGAAACTTACATTAAACAGAATTCTTTTTTTTAACAAATAAATATTATTTTGTATATATTTCCAAAAGTTGCATTTTACGAAATACTATAGATATATTATAACCAATGTTACCAATGTTCTTTATTGTATATAGTTATCAATGGCGTATCCAAGGGGAGGTTATTTGTCATTTATTACTATTTACAATATATGATTTTGGCACTGTTAAGGGCGTGTGATAAACCAAAAAGAAAAAAGATCTTTAGCCTCCCCTAACAAAAACCCAAATAATAAAATAATAATGATAACGTAATAATAAATGCTCTCGCTTACGCGAAATTCATAGTTATTTAAATAAAATTACAAATTGAGAATTCTTTCTTATTATTACAAACCTAGACAATAACTTGAAGGTAAAATTCGTTATCATAATGAAACTGTGAAATAGTAACAAAATTAATATTTATGCATATTAAAACCATTGGAATATAAAATTACCCAATTTTAGATCTAAAAAGCAAATCTTGATAAAAAAAAATTGAAGATTTTTCAAAATAATATATCAAACACAACATATCTTCTATTATTTTTATACATTCTGAAAATATATAATTTTTGAACTTAAAATAGTGTTCAAATTTTTTATTAAGTTTTTTTATATAAGATAATAAATTAAGGATTGTTTTAAAAGATAATATTATGAACTTTCCCTAAATTTTTTTATCAATAATAAATTACAAATTATGCTTGTTTATCCACAAGTGACTAGGTTTACATAAAAAAAATCATGCGTTAATATTGGTAAAATATTTACAAACACAATCAGGTTATTTAATTGATAATATAATGTTTGAAATAATTAATAAATTAAATAATTACACATTAAAACTTATATTATTTAGTTTTTTTAACAAAAATCTGTTATGTTATTATAAATAGCTATATCATCTTAACTACATATTTAGTTACAGAGTTTACAGAGTAAACACAGTATCATTTTTAACTAAAAATTAAAAGTACAATTCAACATTTAATTTATTTACCATTAAAAAATGAGGCTATTCATGAGTTATATAAAAATTTTACTAGTTTATAAAAATTGAATAACATAAAAAATATTTTTATTATTATCAAACAATTATTGTATCAAGTGGAAATTTGGGTGGCTGACTTCAAATAGTTGGGATAAATGCCACGTAAAAGAAGAAGAATTATCAAGTGTAAACATAATATATCAGAATAAGCCATCATGATCTATAACTAATACTAATTAATTCTTAAGGTGAAATTTTTGATTAAATTTAATTGTAAAACTTTATAATATTTTGTTTTTACATTATTATAGCGAAAAATATTTGTAAATTTAAAAAAAACCGTAGAAGATAACATTTAAAATATAGTACGAGATAAAAATCAACATTTTTTTTTAAGTTTCTAGTGTCTACAATACAAATTAACAACGTTAGTTTTGTTTATATACACATATCAAATACAGAGTAATCTGATTAAAATAACATACTCAATTACTCACAAAATAATTACAATACTGAAAGAAACATTTTAGAGTTTTATGATTTTTAGTTAAATATTTTTTTTATCAGTTATTAATTACTTTTTAGCATCATCTTTATGATTTATAAGTGTGTCAAACAATTTTTTTTAATGGTAACATATATTTTTATCTAGCTTATAAAATACTAAATAAACTAATTAAAAAATAATTGATCAATAACAACTTTTGAAATAATTTTTTTAAAATATGACTGAGGGTTATGACAATTTATATCATTAGACATATTTTGGGTGCCCCTATTCATTCACACGGGTATAAAAATATACTAAGTACTGGTTCAAAAGTTGTTATTGACATATTATTTTCTTAATTAGAATATTTTAATCTTATAAGCTAGTTAAAAATATATGTTACCATTTAAAAGAAATTAAGTTGACACTCTTTAATTATAAGAGACGATGTTAAAAAATAATTAACAACTTATAAATTAAAAAATATGTAACTAAATTTTTTTTTTTTAATATTGTAAGTATTTTGCAAGTAATTCAATAAGTTATATTGAATAAATCACTCTGTATTTTATAAGTACAAACCAAAATAACCTAGTTGATTTGCATTGGAAATACTAGATAATTTAAAAAAAATGTGAGTTTTATATATTTGCTTAAGTTTAAATATATACATATATATTTACACATATGTTAAAAAAAAAATTAAAAACATAATATATTTTTAAAAATATGAAACTATTAAATAACAAAAAAACAAATTAAATAAAAATGATTAACTTTTTATAATTACAAAAGAAAAAATTTCAATTTTAATGAGGCAAAAAAATTATAACATTTCAACTTAAAAATCAGGATAACAAATTTTAGGTATATTATAATATAATTTTTTTAAAACAATCTATGTATACCAGTTTCTAAATTAAAAGAAATGTGAATGTTGTTAACAACAATAATAATTCACCGTAACTTAATTAAAATATAAATATCAAATTAAAAATTACTTAATTAGAAATTCTGAAATACAACACACTTATATTAGGATGATACCGACTTGGTATCATCAACCACAAAGAGGTTTACCTAGATAAACAACAGATATTTCTGTATTGCCATATACAGCTGAAACTGATGGATAAAGTTTAGTTTTAGGTAAATCTTTAAATGCAATTCCTAAAAACTCATTGCATTTTTCGAAATGTAAAACTCCATTTTCACAATCTAATACTAATTGAATTTTTTCACCAATTTGATATTTTGGGGCATTATTCAGGAGAGGATAATTACCATGAGAAACTCCATTATGCAACAAAACATTATCAATCAAGTTCCAACCCCAGCTATGTTTATCAATTCCCAATAAGGGTAAATACCCACTACAATGTACAGGTGCATCCATTGTAGAAACACCAACCATTGCTACAGTACCTGTAATAAATTTTTTATAACTCATGTTAAAAATTAAAAAATTATTTTGAAAAAAATTACCAAGAGGTCCTGTCCATGTAACTTCCCAAACATGTTTACCATAATTATAACCAATTTTAGTACGAGCCATATCAGTACTTTGAGCTACTGGATTTCGATGTAATGTAAAACCATTTTGTTTAACTACAATGTGTACAGAACAATCATCTGGATTCCACGCATGATATAAAGCTCGTAATTTAGCTTTAGGGGTTGCAAGTTGTGATAAAAGTTCAGATCTCAACAGTTCTTTTGGTATTTTTTGTCGACACAACAATTTCCATGGTTCAGCTCTACCATCACTAAGCACTCTCAACCAATTTCGACAAACTAACATACAATTTAATAAATCAGGTGGTTTTAAATTAGAAAAAATTATATCTAGCACTAAATCAGGTAAATACTGAGGGGAGTGAAACACATCCATATTAAATTATGAAAATTCTACATATTGATAATGACATTTAAAAAAATAAAATATACAAATCACCTATAAAACTAGTAAAAATTAGAAGAAAACTTATAACAAAAATTATTTCATTAAATACATTGATAAGGTTATCATGTTAGCATTTTTCAAAAATTCTTATATATAACAATAGAATAGACTGAGTAATCTTTTCAGTGTTATAAATATATATTATCGATTTTTATCATAACATCATAGTACATAATGGTACTATCATTGACAAAATCAAGAATAAGATAAATTTTTAGATAGAAATAATGTTTTTTAAGTTTACATACAAATATCAAGGTTTAATTTGTACTCAAATATGCTATCTCCAAACCCCTACTGTCCTCTTTCTTCAAAGCGTGAAAAACAGATTGATACTTTAAAAGTTTTTAATGAAAAGTAAGCTCTAACATTATAAATAAATAAGTTATAATTGTACAGTTTATGAATTGTACGAGATATCATGTTATTGATTCTACTTAATTTTCAACTAACTTGAGTTATTGTCAATACAGTGTTACAGAAATTAATCCAGGAAAAGAATACTCTGTTGAATTTAACACCAAAGCTGGAAAACTTAGATTTCTTATAGAATTAAGTGCAGATTTTCCATTAAATAAACCTGAAATCACTGTTTCACCATGCATTATTCATAAATGGGTAGATAATTCAGGAAAAATTGTGAGAGCCCCTGGCCTTATTAATGTATGTATATGAAATTTTAAAATCATTTATCTAAAATGTATTATTTTGTTTTAGTACTCTATTCACTCTGACTTAGGAAGAGTAGTTCAAGTAATTAGACGTGAATTTGAGTTAGATCAATCATTAGAATTAGCAAATAATACTAACAGGTAAATATTTTCAATGACACGATCAAATATTAATTGTTGATATATCATTGGCTTATTTAAATAAGAACCCAGTGCAGTGAGCTCATGGCAGAATAGTACGTAGCATTGCTGAGACAAGCATAAATGACATCAGACAGCAATTGAAATCATTATCATAAAAAACGCTTCAATGCAAATCTGTTATTAGTGTTTAATTTTAGAAGGAATTATTTTAAACCAACATTAACTCTTATTTCTTTATTCAATATAAAATCAAGATATTTATGAAACTAAAAACACCAAAAATGATTTTCTTCACATAATTATTATTTAAAAAGAAATTGTTTAAAAAAAAACTATGTGGAATAAAAGGGGTGTATATATACAGGGTGATCAGTATAATCATTATACTTTATAATGGATGATTCTAAAAAGTAATTAATGGCTATAAGAAATATATGTAACTAAAAACATTGAGTTAATCTTATAAATATAAAAATAATTGAAATAATACTTACATAAAGATGATTGACTAACTATGGCTCATGATTTTTCTTTATATATATTAGTGTTATCATATATGTAATTATTTTATTTGTTATAAATCTTAGTAGTTGAGCTACTTGACAAGAAAAATAAAGATTCCATCTTCATCCCTTAACCCTTCAACTTTAGTTTTTCAAATAGCAACCTAATTTTTTTTTTTAGCTTAAATAAGTTCTAAACGAGATAATACTATTTAAATTTTAGGGAATTTAACAAATGAAACAGTAGTCAGTAACATTAAAATATTTAGTGTACCAATAAGATCTACCGGTGTATTGTACCGTAACAGGAAGAACTTAGGTACACTTGCTCCTCTTTGATGTGAATAATACTCACGTCCCTTAAACTTAAATGAGTCATATTTTTCACAAAAATTTTTTTTAAACTAAATCTAAGTTGATTATATATATAAAAAAATAGGGTTACCATTTGAAAATTGAATGTTATACTGATTTAAAGCATAAGGGATGATCATAAAAATGTAATTTCACTCACTGAGCTGCCCAAATATTTTGTAAGGCATAATTAATCAATTACCCTGTTTATGTATAAATATATTATATTACACACTCTTATTTATAAATACAATGTGTGTTTAAAAATCTTATTCAAGCCCTAGCTAGTGTAGTTAGTTGTGTTAATACACAATATCTGTAGATAACAGAGCAAAAATAATCAATTATAAATATATAACAAATATAATTCAATTATTTTTTCATCAACATGTTAGTGAAAAATTCACAAAATTGCTGGAGTCATTGCAATGATCCCTACATCAAATTTTAAAATTTTGATATACTTTGTTATACAATTATTTTGCCTATATAATATTTTCAATAAACCAAAATTAATTATTTATAATTAATCTTTTTTCTTAACAGTTTTTCAGTAATTTCAAGCTTTTTGAATGATACAGTTACTACCCTTAGTAATGTAATTCAGATATTAGTTTAATTTTTGAGTTATATATTTCTGAATGTAAATCCTTGTTTTAGGATATGGAATTTCGTAGTTTAACTAATTTAACATCAGCTGAACTATTAAGACTAAATAGTGATGTTGACTGCCTAGATGAATTTATTTCAGAGTTACCTTCAATTGAAGCTTCCAATAAAGCTATAGAAAATACTATTACTAAAGTTATGGATCTTGCAAGTAAATATAAAATTAACTAACATTGCAAAATAGTTAAAAATATATTTCAATTATGATATTATTTAGATTCTAATATATCAAAAGAAAAACCAATAGATATCTTAAAATTAGAAATATCAAAACAGTTGGAAAAAATTGAATTATCACAAAAATCGTATTCTGAATTAACTATTAAGTATGCTAAATTGTCAGAGAAATATCTACCTAAATCAATATCGGTATAAAAGTTGTTTAACTAGATTGAGTCATACAAAATGAATAATATTGACTTATATTTTTATCTTAATAATTTAGAATAATTTAAAAGAAGCTGCATTAAAATGTGATGAAGAGAGTGAACGAATAGCTGAACAATTTTTATCTGGAAAAATGGACTGTGATATGTTTTTACAAATATACTTAAATTCAAGAACTGTAATTAAGTCATATTTTTTAAGTTATTATTTATATTCATGTAGAATTAGGTATTCATAGTTAAAAATGTTTGATACTTTTCAGTTGTCATATACTCGGAAAGCTAAAGAAGAGAGACTCAGTTATCAATTAAAACAACTTAAAGATGCAGGTTTTTAAGTTCCTATTGAACAGTTAAAGTAAATGAGTTTAGCTTCAGTTACATTAATACAAGTTAAATATTATAGTAAATATATCTTATTAGTGATAAATAAATATAAGTAGTGTTATTTAGAAACTTTAAGCTATCATGTTATTATAAGTAATACTTAAAAACAAAAGTAAATTATTATGGTATATTATTAAATGTAAATTTTAATTATTTTTATTATTATTAAATATTATGCTTTTTAAAAAGGTTGTAATAAAGTCAATACTCTTTAATTAATTTTGTTTTATTTCTTGTATGTTAATTGATTTTTAATATAGTTAGTTATATTTTAGTTATGTTATCTATTTTATTTATTCAAAATTCTTTCATTTACTATTAAAGATTACTTACTCTATTATTACTGATAAAAATTTTTGACAAAATATAAAATGAAAATAATAAAATAAAATTTTTAGAAAAAATTATATGATTTTTTTCTTTGTGGACCTACTTTATAAAGTACAAAAATCATTGTAACGTTTTTTTATTTTTAGCATTATAGCACTTTTTTTTATTTATCTTTATTTTTAAATACATTAAAAAGACATAGAAATTTGAAAATTGAAACAAAAAAATAACTTTTGTTTGATAATAATATATTTGTGTTTTTTAATTAGATATTCATATAATTTATATATCAAAAGCTAGTAAAGTACACTTTTTACATGAAAATTATCATCAGGACCGATCAAACTATTTATAGATTCTATGCACTAGTTGAAGAAATTTTTGTAAGTCTATTTTTTTTCAAATTCCCTAAATTTCAGTTTTTTATTTTTTACAAAAAAAAACTTCATACAAAAGTTACTATTATAAATCCTTTTGTGAACAATTAGAGTCGAATTTTCGTACAAATATATGCCACAGAAAAGGGACTTATTTAAAATGTTATCAAAACAACAATATTTGCTTCGAGTTATTTATTTTTTAAAAATAATAACAAATTTTAAGTAAAAATTAAAGAAATTTTACGATTTCTTAGATTTTGATTTTTTAGAATTTTCCATATTTCGAGAAACGAGAGATATTTTTAATTTTCAAGTAGATACAATTTTTATTCTTTTAACTCATCGTTGAAAAATCGGTTCTGTGAGAGCTGAGAAAAAGTAATGACAGGCATAAAAAAAGATATATCATAGTAAATTCAATATCTTCTCAGTTTCATATCGAATTAAAATTATAATTTGATACAAATTAACTATAAGAATTGTATCTGCAGTTCTTTTATGCTTAATATACAGTTATAATATTTGATGAAGAGTAGTGAGATTCCAAATAAATTCTAACAGTTCCACACGCTAACGAAACACTGTTAAATCAACAATTATTGTTAATTTTAGTCAACATTCCCTTTATACATGTTGTGAACGTGCCCTTTCTTATTTACTTCATTGTTAGCGACGTTGTTAAAGTCACGTGGTAGAGACTAACCCCCGTCATCGTCAAGTTAATGGTGTAACTCTGCTTCTGTCAACAGTAATACATTCAGCAAGATTAATAATTGACTGGTACAAATTATTAAACTTGGTCAAAAATGCCAATTTGTCTGGATTAATTCGGTAGCTTCCGTATTAACTAAATACTTATTTGGCTTTATTTTTGTTAGGTAATGTTCAATAATGATAAAGGATCGACCTGACCTAGTAGGTAGTAACATATATTTCAGCGCACGGGATCCTGGATTCGACTTCCCAAGAGCCAATAAAGTGTTTCTTATGATTTCGTTATTTGTGGTGTCTGATCTCTGGTGCAAGCCGGTCATAATATCCATCCCGTTCATTACTGGCCTAGCCAAGAACCATCCATGACTCCCTAACATGTAAAAGAGGGCTACCTCCCTTTGTAGCATGTTAAGTTCGGGGAACAGAAAGATGTAAAATTGGTCATTTATTTATTTTTAATGCTCAACAATGATAAAATACTTGTTAGTAGATTTTACAAGTGTTAAAGAACAAATTAATTCTAAAAGACAATTCAAAATATACTGTTAAAACTATACTATTCAAATCGCTTAATTTATTTTTATTATTGAAGTAATATATATCGTTAAAATTAAAACATATCCATGCACATTATTCGTTTATGTAAATGGTATTATTTTTATAGATAAATTAATGCGTTAAACAGTTCAAGAAAAAATTGAATCTGTTTTTCATCCAATATTGATATCTAAAAATTTGGGTAGTATACAAAGAAATATATGATAATTTTTTTTTGTAATTAAAGAAACTTTAATAAACTAAAATTTCTGGGAATATAAAAAGTATATTGTGTCGAGTGGTATACCTTATATATTCTTTTAACTATGACTGAAAAACTCTCAATTCTTGTAATTAAAAAAACTTGCTATTTTTGAGAATGTTTTTAATTAGCAAATTATATACTACAGGACATGTGGAATGTCATTGGATAAAACGGAACATTTTTTTATAAGAGGGATTTTAATATAATTTAAAATTATAAATTTATCAACAGAGTTAAAAATAATTAGTAATAGATTATTTTTTTTTTATATCTTTGATTTACTAAAAGGTTGTATTAGATTTAATATTTAAAAATAATTACAACATTCGAGGTTGATTAATTTGATCTATTTTAATTTTAATTTTTTTGTAAAAAGAATTTCTATTTTGATAACTTTTCAATACATTACATAAAAATAATGTATCTTATTATAATATAAATATTGGATATCATATTAATTCCAAACTAAAAATAACAATATAAGACATGTTCGGAAAGTAAAGTTTCATAACTTATGAAGTTCATAATATATTTTCTCCTTTTTATTTATACGGTATGTAAAGAAAGTCTTTATGAATAAAATAAATAGTATGGTAGACTTTTAGGACTTAATATGCCATACTAGTGACAATTTCCATCGAAAATGTCCCCAAACATTTTCTTTTCCACTTTGACAAACAAAATTTTTTGACTTGAAGTAATAATTGAAGATCAACGTTTAATCAAATTAGACGAATTTATTAGATAATAAATTCAAATAATATTATCAGGTCTTTCTTGTAATATATATTTTTTAAATCAGTCCTTCCATTATGGTCTAATTGATATATACTACACGCGCAATGTTTAAAAGAACCCAGGATAGGGGGTCGCGGCACAGTGGTGACGTGCATAGTTGGATTAAGTATAATGATATCTGACAGTGATTAAAATCACTATCATAAAAAACTGCTATTTCCCTATTTATATCTTGATTAAGATAAAGTATGTCGAATGAAAAAGGGATATAAATATTATTTCTCATAAAAAAATTGTGTTGATCCATACACTTTTGAATAAGTTATAGCATTATAAACTTAAAAATGTAAAATATAAAATCGAGAATTTTCACACAAAAATAGCACTTGGTAGCCATTTTCACCGTGAAAACAAAATAAAGTCAGATTTTTTTTTTTTCCATAATAAAGTATATTACATTTTAACACTTATATCTTTAAGTTACTACTGGTAATATTTGTTATCGTTAATCTTTTAATATTGTATAAAAATTTTGAAAGTTTTCAAAAAATATTGGTTGAGATTTTGTCTGAAATATTGTAATTCAGATTACTGCGCTGTGTTTGCAGGTCAATTACTAAAGATCACCTCCACAGTAATTGACACTGTATTGGTATATTTATTCTAAAAGATCTATCTAATCACTTACTTTATTCATAAATACCTGTTTTATATGCCTGTTAAAAAATAAATGAAAAAATGTATATTATTGCCTTCATGAACATTGATTTATAAATATATATATTTATATATTATTGCGTTAAACTCTATTTTCTAGACATTCTTTCATGGTTATATTTTGTTTGGGTTTCATATGGTAAGGTAATGTAATAATTTTGATATAATTAAGGTAAATGTTTAGCTTTGTAATTTTACCCAACTCTATCCTACTTAAAATTCTAGTATTTTTTAAAAAAATGTTTCTATTATGTTATCATTATAATGTGTTTAATTATAAATCTCTGAATGAAAAAAGTAATTATTTGTAGGTAGGAAAATATTTTTTAGAAAAATGTTAATTATGTTTATTTCATTGAGTGTTAAAGCCAATTTTTTTTTTAGTGTTCTTTAATTGTTATCATAGTTATATTTTTTTAAAACACAAAAATTATGTTGTAAATTTATGTTACTGCTTCATTAGCTGCTATAAATGACATTTTGAAAAATTATTTATATTAAAAGTGTTTTATATTTTAATGCAATGTAGAAAAAATGTACAAATTTTAAACGTATATTATAGGTTATTTGATAATTTAATTAGTTACTGTATATATTATTTATGATAAGCTTAAAAAACAATTTAAAGTAGACTAGTCGGACAATTGAAATTGCATGGATTTTAAGGATGGGATACATAAGAAGTCTCTTCTACTACCTTTTTTAATCGTGTAGCTAAGAAATACTCTAATACTATCAGTATAGATATTAGAGAGGGATGGATTATTATGTTCAAACGAAGGGTCGCGTGTACCTGCGAAATAAATAACGATGGCGGTGGTTGGTCAGTTGTCTATCAGTGGGCGGTTTGTGCACTTTTCCTACACATGTCAACAAACACGCGTTTGGCAAAACTCGTTGTTTTTTTACTAAGGCATCACGCGGCACGGTACGTGACCCGGCGTAAACTAATTGGATCCCACGTGTTGGTGCACTAGTGAGCGCTACCGACGTCCGCTTCTTCCTCAGACCAAAACCGTCCTCCATCGTTCCATTGCTCAGTAACGTAACAGCAACCGCGTCTTAGCCTGAGGATCATATGATAGTTACTTCGATTATTTAGACGACACACTGTGTAGTCCCGTCGTACTGTACTGATATCTATCGTTGTAGTCTCGACAAATCGCAGTATTACAGTTAGAAACTAAATTTAAATTTATTAAGTTAACTGACATTGTGTTATTGTAATCGGTGATTATAAAATTATTTGGGTAAATGCAACACGATCGGCTGCAATACCTATTAAAACATTCGCCAATAATTAAAGTTATTTGTTTGTACTGAATATTATGGTTAATAGACCTAAGGTACAGTTACCGAATGGAGATAAGTTCGAATTGATATCAACACATTAATCACTAATTTCATATTTCTACACCATTTAGAAACGTTTTTGGTAAGAATTTATTTTTAGAATTATATTTTTTTAAGTTTTTTTTTTTAGTTACTATATAAATTAAGAAATTATTTCTTTAGTTTGTAATCCTCAAAATAATTGGAAAATTAATTGTTTTGTTTAATTATCTCTCCAAATGGTCAAAGGTGCCTCAAAGCGTCATCATTTAAACATTAAACAATTAAAAAAAAAATATTATGATAAGACGGTAATCATTAATTTTGTAAATATTTACTATAAAAATTCATTTTGTTTATCTGTACAATAATTTAAAGTATTTAAACATACTTAATGGTAGACATTGCACAGACTAGTATTATGTGCTTTATTAAGTAGTGATCAAAGTGGAGAGATATCCTCCATTTTTTTACATTATTTTCGGTTAGTAAACTAAATGTTAAATAATATACAATAATGTTAGTCAATTTTAATTTTTCTTATTTAAAGAAAATACTATTGACACTTAAAACAAATTGTAAAACCTATATTAATTTTGGGAAATTTAATAAAAATAATAATTATTTTGTTTATTATAAGAATATAAAATTATAATTTATAATAAAAAAACACCAATATAATTCGACAAGATGTATGTACATTGTTCAATTATAAGAGGGATGTATTATTTTGAGCATAATTAGAGGAGGGATGAAAAGTGTTAATAAATAAAAGTATAGATGACATCCCTCCGTATCACCCTCACTTCGACCACTGACCTTAGGAAATTTAAAATCTAACTTTGCATCTTTATGAGTAAAATTTTTATATTTTCATTGATATATAAACATTTACATAAGAAACTTTCAAGAAAAAATACACAATATGTAAATTTATTGTGTCATTTTAGATAAGTTTTAATCAGTAATAATGATCGTTTAGTTAATCTAAAAAATAGCAAACTTTTAAGACATTAATACTAAAATAATATTATCATCAAATATATTAATTAGTTTTTATATTAATCTGTAGGGATTAACAAAGATGTTAAATAACATGTCACAATGAATGCGTTTATATATGTTTATATGTTTTATCTTAGATGTACTGCAGTACGATAACACTCCGTGTATTTTTTTTAGTCTCGCGCTGTTCGTCAATCCAGTGACACTTTTTATTTGTACTCTTTTTTTATGTTGTATAAAATCATTTTTCATTATTAAAAATTATTAATTATTATAAATTTTAATTGTAGTATTTTGTAATAAATATAAACACCAAAACACTACAAATTGGTGACCTCTAAAATGAACAACAAATCCGATAGTACGATAGTAAGTGTGCGTGACGACGCGACCGGTAATGATGGCCGAGACCATATCGAATACGGCGAGCCCAATATGAATTCAACGCGAGCGTTTAAAATCCCAACTTTCTGGCGTACCAACCCAGAACTTTGGTTCAAACAAATTGAATCCGTTTTTTATACAACCAGAATTACAGCTGACGCAAGTAAATTTCATCATGTTGTTTCTTCTATGGAAAGTGAAATTCTTGCTCAAGTTAGTGACATAATACTCAATCCACCAGAAACGAAAATGTACGAAGCATTAAAAACCCGGCTCATCGAAAGATTTTCCGAATCTGAACAATGTCGGCTTAAAAAATTACTGACCGAAGTCGAACTCGGTGATCGGAAACCATCCCATTTTCTTTCAGAAATGCGTCAACTAGCTAATGGAAAAGTAACTGATGAAATACTCAAAATACTATGGATACAAAGGTTACCACATCAGGTAAAAACTATCATTTCAGCTAGCAACGACAAGTTGGATAACTTAGCTTCGATGGCAGATAAAATTATCGAAGTATCGGACAGCCGAAATGATTGTTTTTCCATTGCCAACATTAGTGACAAGGTCACAAACCGTCAGTCACATGAACAAGCTGACGATGCAACGACAATAAGAAAATTGGAACACCAGATTGCAGCACTCGCACAAGCAGTAGAGCGACTTAGCAACAGCAACTCTCGTAGCTACAATAGACGTCACTCAAAATCACCTATGCGCCGAGACAATTCACGACCACGATATGATACGTGTTATTATCATTACCGATTCAAAGATAAGGCCACTAAATGCAAACCACCGTGTAAATACCAGCACACGTCGGAAAACTATAAACGATCTACTGTCGAGACGACCGACGGTAGTGAACTTCTTGTGGTATATGAAGCCATTAAGCATTTTCGCTATATGCTGGAAGCCCGTGAATTTGAAATAATTACGGACCATAAGCCGTTAGTATACGCATTCACACAACACTCAGATAAATTACCACCTCGACGTGCACGACAACTTGATTTTATTAGTCAGTTTACAACATCAATACGGCACGTAACAGGTACACAGAATACAGTGGCCGATGCGTTATCGAGAATAGAAACTATAAATGCACCGCCACCGCTAGATTATGACAAGTTAGCTTACGACCAGTTAGCAGACGCAGAACTATTGTCGTTATTGTCAAAACCGGAATTATCGATAAAACTAGAGCTCGTAAATATGCCCACTACGAACACAAATATTTACTGCGACACTTCTAATGGTAGACAACGACCGTATCTTACCAAACAATTTCGCCGCAATGTGTTCAATTGTCTACATAATCTCGCTCACCCAGGTATACGGTCAACAATAAAATTAGTGAGTAGTCGTTTCGTGTGGCCGTCGATGAACAGTGATTGTGCGAAATGGACTCGTGCGTGTTTAGCGTGTCAAAAGTCAAAAATAACGCGACATGTTATAAGTCCGTGTGGTATTTTTAATGTGCCGAGTGATCGTTTTTCACATGTACACATCGATATAATCGGTCCTATGGTCATGTCACGTGGTTGTACTTACTGTTTAACCGCTATAGACAGATTTTCTAGATGGCCAGAAGTTTTTCCAATTCAGGATATTTCGGCTGAAACCATAGCTCGTACGTTATTTGAAGGCTGGATAGCTCGATATGGAGTTATGGAGAGATTGACAACAGATCAAGGACGGCAATTTGAGTCTACTCTGTTCACCGCAGTAACGCAAATTTTAGGGTTTAGAAGAATACGTACATCAGCATATCATCCACCAGCCAATGGTTTAGTTGAACGATTCCACCGATCACTTAAAACGGCAATAAAGTGTTACGAAACTGAGCACTGGACAGATGTACTCCCCTCAGTTCTTATGGGCCTTAGATCAGTGATTAAAGAAGATCTAGGTTTAACACCTGCAGAAATTGTATTTGGAAGTACGATTAGATTACCTAATGAGTTTTTTATGCAGTCATCAGTGGCGACAGACCCTTGTTCCTTTGCTGAAACACTAAAGAAAACAATGGAAACCATACGCCCAGTGTCAACTTCAAACCACGGAAGTAAAAAAGTTTTTATATATAAATATCTAGCATCCTGTTCACACATTTTCGTTCGGGTCGACCGGGTCAAGAAACCGCTAGAACAACCATATGAAGGGCCGTACAAAATTGTTCAACGATACGAAAAAACCTTTAAATTATTAATTAGGCAAAAAGAATGTATCATATCAATAGACAGACTGAAGCCATGTTTCAACGAAAATGAAGATAATAACACAAATCTATCAATAACAACGAACCAGCAAAACCAGAGAAATACAACTACAAGACCAACAATAATACAAACAAAACAAACCAAGTCAGGAAGAACCATCCGCCTCCCCGTAAGGTTTTTGTAAATTGTGAATTGTATCACTTTTATATTTGTATTTGTATTTTTATATTTGATATTTGTAACTATGTATGTTTAACGTAAAATTATCGTTTTCACTGGAAAGGGGGTAATGTAGGGATTAACAAAGATGTTAAATAACATGTCACAATGAATGCGTTTATATATGTTTATATGTTTTATCTTAGATGTACTGCAGTACGATAACACTCCGTGTATTTTTTTTAGTCTCGCGCTGTTCGTCAATCCAGTGACACTTTTTATTTGTACTCTTTTTTTTATGTTGTATAAAATCATTTTTCATTATTAAAAATTATTAATTATTATAAATTTTAATTGTAGTATTTTGTAATGAATATAAACACCAAAACACTACAAATCGCTCTATATTAATTTCTTTACTTCATTATTATTATTTTAAAACAAAGAAGGGTAAAATATATTAATAATTGTTATTTTTATTAATGACACGATCCTATCCCTAAATAGGACCTTAAAAAGTTTTATAGGTATAGTGAGGTACATAATACAGGGAAGAATTTAAAATCATCAGTCAAGACCCATTAAAGCTATTCATAGTTTAGCACAAGTTGAAAATAAAATTTCGTTGACTATTACTTTTTCGAATTCTTTAATATCCAGACTATTATTTTTTTACAAAAAAGTCTTTAAGTCTTAAAAAAAAAATCTTGTAGACCCTTTTCATAATGCTTCTATTACTTAATCGATAATACAGACCTGTCCTCAGTGTAAAAATGTTAAACTTATAATAAAATTATATTAAAAATAATGAGGTACAGCAAGGGTTGGTAATAGACTATCAATAATCCAAACCGGCCCTCGGAGATAAAAAATTGGCCAACGGAAAAATATTTAACACCAAAGTTGTCTTTATATTTTATTTTCATTATTATCTCTATATATACTTAAAAAAAAATTGGTTACGTGTCCATATTTATTTGATGTTTAATTTACTTATCAAATAATTTAATTTTCTTATCATTAGCCCAGAAAAAGCGGTGGCATTTATTTTATGAGAATACTTATTTTTATATATTAAAAATAAATACTATTAAATTTACATGTATTCTATTTTTAATTTTAACAAATTGATTACCTATATTTGTTTTATTTCTGATATTCAGACAATTTTTTCTAATTTTTTAGCCTATATATAAACTTATTGTCTCCCTCTAAGATAAAGGGTTATACATACAAATTTTACTATAAATAATCTATATCTAAAAAACTGGATTATTATTATTTTGGTTGATAATAATTTTTAAAACCATAAGCTCGGAAGCGGAAATTC